TCCACCACCCCGAGACATGATGACTTTGTGCCTCCAGCTCTCTGGCTCTGCTGCCAACAAACTGGGGAGCCCCAACGTCGGTCCTACCCCCAAAACCCCACAAAACAACACCAGAAGAAGAGGAAAACGGAGGACACAAAAGCAGCAGCGTATTTTCATTGTGTCACTAATTGCTCGCCCGTTAAACCAGACACAAACCCAACTATTGAAGGTCGGATGCTCCTGTTACCACAGTTGGTGGTGGGGAGGTGGAATGTTTGACCTTCAGATGCCTTTGCTGCCCGTCCTGCCGGGAGCACATGCCTGGGCTGCTGTGTGTGCCAAGGCACTGCCTTGCTTCGGGGCTGTCTGCTGGAGCTCACTCTGCCCATGAGCAGTGATTGATTTCCTTCCCGCATGGCACGGTGCCTAGGTATGTCTCCCAAAGGCCTTTGTAACGAGAGTGTTAACAATTAACCTACTCAGGCAGAAACAGAGCCAGGCCTTCCTAATCTGGGCTTAGTTAACCATTCACCTGCTTATCTGAAAGCAATTTTTCTCCTGCCTAACTGGGAGGCATTTGCTAACTCATTTGGGTAAAGCAAGTGTGAAGATTCAGGAGCTGGTTTATAGATTGTTCTATTTACAGCAGCACCTCTGGGTCCCCCAGAGCTTCAAGCATGGTAGGAAACCTTGGGAAGAGGTGGCCATGAAGAGTGGACCCAGCACAGCTGGGGAAAAGGAGATTTCAGCCCGGATTCTTTGCATCAGGCATAAAATTGTCCCCAAGGCAGGGCTGCTGGGAGGAGGCCAAAGGGTCATTGGGGTTGAAAGGGATGGGATGGGATGGGATGGGATGGGGAGGCCATGCAATACAGAGGTGGTGGGGAGCTGCACTGTTGTGTGAAGCCTCGGTGTCTCCAGCCAGAGAGAAAGCTGGATGTACTGATAAGACATGTCACCTTTCCTAGGTAAGGTGCTTACCCAGGAGGGTGCTTTGAATCAATCCAGACAAATAAACCCTTTTCAGCTTTTATTACCACAGCAATGCTGGGAAGTGGGAAATTAGCTCAGTGTTTGTTCTGGAAGGGTTTCCTTCTCCTTTGTGTCTGCACAAAGTCCTTTCGCTTGGGTTCCTGCCGTAACCACAGGGCTCTGGGGCACTGGAGTGAGGGCAGAGCTCAGCAAGGGGTGAGTATTGACTCTTGATGTGGTGGCTGCTGTGATGGATGGACAGATGGATGTCACTTGGGAGTGATTTGGGTAGAGAGAGTCCTCCCTGGGAGGTGGGATGGACCCAGTGTCTTCTTGAGAGCCTGGTGAGGTTGAAGAGCAAGTCCCAGTGGCTCCTCACCACTGCAGATGGGATGTAACCTCTGGAAAGAGAAAACATCTGGACAGGGCAGTGCCTGGCAGGTTGCTTAAAACTCCTGCTTTGGTTTTTGCCTGCCTGGGGCCTCTCCACCCCACCACAAGGCAGGGAAAGCCACTTTCATCCCTCTGCTGTGGCTTGGGGGTCTCTTCCCAGCCCAGCCATGCCTGGAGGTGACTCCTCTTTCCTTCTAAGGGATGGACTTGGGAGGGAAACACTGGTAAAGACAAGCCATTTTCTTCCCTCGGCCCGCCTGTGTCGATGAACTGCCAGGCTCAACATCCTTGTTTCATTCGGAATCATCTATAAACCCAATTTTAGCTCATGTTCCCATGGGAGGGAGGCAGTTACGAGAGGAGAAATGTCCTGGGGAAGGTTTTAATCATGCATTCCTCCAAACTTGAAGGAGAAAAACCCAACCCTCCAGCTCTGCATTATTTCTTATCACACTTACCTTACCTCCTTACCTCCTTCTGTGCTCAGAACTTGGATTTCACAGCTGACCTGAGGAACCGCCAAGGTAAAATTCAATTGGGAACTGGGGCTGGCCAGAAGAAAGAGCTGTTCTTGAAGAAATGGCCCTTTTTGGCAAACAAAGCTGCACTGTCAGGGATCTGTTGGCACTTCTGGAATCTCCTTAATAACATGTTTGGAATGCTTGCCTGTATGCTCTGTTTATCAGATCCTGCGTTTACAGTAAACATAAGCTAATAGCTATTTTTTTCTTGGATGATTCCCAGTTATAAGGAAAAAAAAGAGAAAAAACCATGGAAAAAGGTCCATTTTTAGAGTCTGCTCCTGTGGTGCAGCTTCGATCCCACAGCCCAAGAAGGCAGCTGAAGCCTGCCCAGGTTTTGGGTTGCTGGCACTGAATGGGAACACTGGCTCAGCATTCTGGAGGGCTTGGGACACGGCCTTAAGCAGAAGTCTCCTTGATATGGGAACCACTGTCTAAGAGCCAGGGGGTCTACAAAGGCAGAGAAAGGCCCTTGGTGCAGACCACCATGGAGATGCCGTGGGGCTGAGTAGGCACCTTCTGGTGTCTCATGTCTTGGAGGACATTGCCATGACTCTGCACAGCCTGTGGCTCTCATCCTACTAAGGACATTTGTCTTTCCAAGCTCACAATGCTTCTTGTTCTGTTGGGTTTGGGAGTTCTTTGGGGAAGGACCAAACTTCCCGGTGATCTCATCCTGCCCCCAAAAGGTCAATGTAAATGTGCAAATGTCACTGTGGGATTTATCCAGCAAGGAAAAGGTAACCGGGATTTCCCCTCCACCAGCTGAGCGAGGCTGGGGAGCACTACATGGAGGCCATGAGGCCACTGCCTTTCCCTTGTCTGGAGCCAAGACCTTCTGGAACACCCTTCCCGTGGTGGCTGATGTCCCATTAAAAAAGGACACAGCCTGTAAAGATCCCAAAGTCACTCACAGGCAGTTTATTCCTAAATTAGCCTTCCCTTTACTAGTAACATCCAAAAGCACCATGGGTTGAATGCAGCTTCAGATGAGTGGTCCTCATCCCTCCTCATCACTCCATGGCCCAGCCAAGTCTGCAGGTGCCCAGCAGATTAATCCCTGGTGTCATGCACTCATGTGGTATTTGTTTGCTGTTTGGTCTTCAGACCACAACCAGTGACATGGAGAAGTCTCTTGTTGGAGGACAAAGGTGCAGGAAGGCCATTAGCAATGACTACAGAATGTTCACTGTTGGGTGAACATTGCTTTATACTGCTGGTGGTTCAGTGGGGCGAGTCCGCTGCGGACCCTCCTCGTGTGGGGTGATGTGCAAGGGGATGGAGAAGGTTAAACCACAAAGCACATCCTCCTCTGCCTCACAGCTGTCCCCTTGTCAATGATGGGACACACTTAGTGTGTTTCAGATCATGGAGGCTCCTTCGTGCCTCACCAGGAGTTCTGCAGGGATGGTGACTTCCACCACAGCACCTCCTTTTTCCCAGTGACCACCTCCATACCCTGCTCTGCCCCAGCTCACTGTAGGTATCAGCTCTGTGTTCTTTCCCTCCAGCACATTAGTTTGTCCACCAGCCCTATGATACTTGGGCCATATTTCAGCCAGGGCAGCTTTCTCTGGGAAGATCAGGATGCTGAGGAAAGGCAGGAGGCTACAGGCCTCCAGAAATGCAGTTCAATAAAAGCCAAGTCAAGCAGCACAGCCTCTGCTTTAACCTTTATAATTCTTTTTCCATTCCATTATTAGTGCAAATAGCAAGACCCCATGAGACACCGCATCAGAGCTGAGCTCTAGACCTGGGCTAGCCCTCCAGGGAAATAACCCAGCTCTCCTGCTTTACTTGGGGAGGGCTGATTTAATATCCCTACCCCAAGAAGAGGGAAAACCCCACAGAAATGGGGATTTTTCTCCGGCTCCCCTATCTGATGGCTCTGTCTGAGCCCTCCCGTCACTGAACATCTCTCCAAAGGGCATCACTTTTGTTATCCGTCTTTTATCCGGGGGAAATCTGTACCTCCCACTAGCCATATATCTTGCTTTAGGCCCCACACTGCCAGGGTGGTTTATCCTGGGAAATCTGGAACTGAGGACCATAAAAAAGCATCCTTTCTGGTCCGTGGGGACCAAGCCAACGAGCTTGGTAAGGCTGGGAGGACAATGGCAAGCTAAGAGCCCAAAGCTGTCCATGTGCCACTGACCCTGCTCCTCCAGGCTTGGTTCAGCTGTGGTGGTGTCAGAGACATCTACACAGACAGGCAGATACGAGGCAGAACTCCAAGGATACCAGAGCCATTCTAGAGCAGCACTGGGAGGACACATAAAGCCCCCCCAAGGGGACTGGACACTCATGTCCCATTGACTGAAATTAGCTGTGAGTCTTTCCCCACGTACAGAGACCTCACTGCAAGCACCCAAACTTTGCAATGCATCTTCTTCCTTCCCTCAGGTAATGAGAGCCTTAGCTGGTAAGGGTTCAAGTTCTCCTCTATTCAATGAGGCAACAGAAATATCGTTGTGGGTCTTTTTATTTCATTAAGTAAGATTTTATACCTTTGTGGGGCTGATTGATTGCATTATAGAGGATTGAACTAGCACCTTAGTAGAGGGAACAGGCATTGTTGAGAATGCTGTCACTCTCTAAGATCTCCATCTTCCAAGGCAGGGGGTTGGAACTAGATCGTACAATCACAGAATCATAGAATAGTTAGGGTTGGAAAGGACTTTAAGATCATCTAGTTCCAACCCCCCTGCCATGAGCAGGGACACCACATGCTAAACTATGTCGCCCAAGGCTCTGTCCAATCTGGCCTTGAACACCGCCAGGGATGGAGCATTCACAACTTCCCTAGGCAACCCATTCCAGTGCTTCACCACCCTCACTGTGAAGAACTTCTTCCTTATATCTAACC